GTACGGGACCATCAATAGCCATGGAGAATAAAGGGAACTGCCACATTTAGAGGCAATAAACCTTTAGAGGCATGTTTGTTGGCCTTCTGGGGCAATTGAGTGAAACAGGATGGTGAACTAGATGGATCGTCTGTCTTGTCCAGCAGAGCTCTTCTTTTGTTCTCTTCTTCAGTGGCAGAAGAGAAGAAGAAGAGAAGAGATTAGATTTATACCCCACCCTTCACTACCCAAGGGAGTCTCAGAGGGGCTTACAAACTCCTTTCCACCAATTTACCCGGTATCGACGTCAGACTGACTGGCCTGTAATTTCCCGGATCTCCTCTGGAACCCTTTTTAAAGATGGGAGTGACATTAGCTACCTTCCAGTCCTCAGGAATGGAGGCTGATTTTAAGGAGAGATTACATATTTTTGTCAGGAGATCCACAAGTTCACAATTGAGTTCTTTCAGAACTCTTGGATGTATGCCATCTGGGCCTGGTGATTTATCAGTTTTTAAGTTGTTTATCAGTTTTAGGACCTCCTCTCTCGTCACCTCAATCTGACTCAGGTCTTTCAACACCCCTCCCGAACTCAGCGGCTCTGGAGTGGGCAAGCACCTCTCATCTTCCACAGTGAAGACGGAGGCAAAAAATGCATTTAGCTTCTCAGCCATTTCCCTATCGTCCTTCAGTACTCCTTTCTCTTAACTGCTTACATTCTAGTGCATCTATATGGGGCCCTTGCCACATACAGAAGTGGGACTACGACATACATGAACAGGAAAATAACAGAGCAGGTTGCAAACTGCACACAATGCAATTTTGAGATTAATTTTAGAACTTCTGCTGGTTCAACTAAAACCAATCAGCTGAATGAAAGCCTAGAGGAACGAAATAGGGAAAAACCATCACTCCCTAGAGACAGGGTGACCCCAAGGTATTTTGTCCCCCTGCTGCAAGCAAGGCTCAGAACGCCCCCTCCCCCCAGACCCTCTCTGCTACACTCCCATCTCTTTGGATGGCAGCTACAGTGCCTCCTCCTCTGCTTCCCACCCATCTTTCGATCCCAGGCAGCAAGCCCAGTAGAACCTCCTGAACTCTTGTGAGAGTTTGGGTGCCCATCCTCTTACGCCTCCCCAGGAACGGGCCACGGTGGCTTGGTCGAAAATACACAGCCCTGAATGCACAGCAGTGCAGGGAAGCTACTTGCTTATATGGAAGGAAAGAAGATTCTTATCCTTATAGGGAAGGCAGGAAAAGGGGAAGGGCTGTAGCTCAGTGGCAGAGCGTCTGCTTGGCGTGCAGAAGGTCCCAGGTTCAATCCCTGGCACCTCCAGTTAAAAGGATCTGGAGGCAGGTGATGTGAAAGACCTCTGGTCTAAGGTCCTGGAGAGCTGCTGCCAGTCTGAGCAGACAAGACTGACCTTGATAAGAACATAAGAACATAAGAGATGCCAATGTTGGATCAGGCCAAAGGCCCATCCAGTCCAACACTCTGTGTCACACAGTGGCCAGAAATACCAGATGCCATCAGGAGGTCCACCAGTGGGGCCAGGACATTAGAAGCCCTCCCACTGTTGCCCCCCCTAAGCACCAAGAAGACAGAGCATCCCTTGCCCCAGAGCCCCTATCTATACCTTGTGGCTAAGAGCCACTGATGGACCTCTGCTCCACTGATGGACCGAGGCATCTGATTCAATATGAGGCAAGGGGAAAGGGCTGTGGTTCAGAGGTACAGCATCTGCTTGGCATGCAGGAAGTCCCAGGTTCAATCCCCAGCACCTCCAGTTAAAAGGACCAGGCAGGAGGTGATGTGAGAGACCTCTGGCCTGCGACCCTGAAGAGCTGCTGACAATCTGAGGAGACAATACTAGCCTTGCTGGGCCAGGGGTCTGATTTGGTAATACAGCAGCTTCCTGTGTCCATGTGAAAAAGGTGCCAGGGGCCTGCCAGGGTGGGGGACAGAATTTCTCGCAGCTGCTGCTGCTGCTGCTGCTGCTGATGCCAGCCATTGAGAAACAAGCCTGTTCTTATTAGGGTTGCCAACCTCCAGGTGGGGCCTGGGGAGCTCCCAGAATTACAGTTGATCTGGTAGAGATCACTTCCCCCGGGAGAAAATAAATGGTGGACTCTATGGCATCATACACCGCTGAGGTTCATCTTGAGGCTGCACCCTGGGGTTGCCAGGTCCCCCCGGCTGCCGGGGGGGCAACGGGGGGGGGGTAAGGTTGCCAGCTCCAAGTTGGGAAACTTCTCCAGGTTGGGAAACTTCTGGAGATTTGGGGATGGAGTCTGGGGAGGACAGAGGCCCCAGTGGGGCACAGTGCCATGAGAGTCCCCCCTCCAAAGCATCCATTGTCTCCCGGGGAACTGATCTCTGCAGGCTGGAGATGAGTTGCAATTCTGGGGGATCCCCAGGTCCCACCTGGAGGCTTGGCATCTCTACTCCACCCCCCAAAATCTCCAGGAATTTCCCAACAGAATTGGCAACTCTAGTTCCTATCCAAGCAGATACATCTGAGGTTCTCTCTGCTGGCCACTCTTACCACAATGGGACGTAAAGCGTTCCTATATCTGCTTTGGGAGCCAATCGTACTCTGTTTAAACTCCCTTCGTACATAGATCACTCAAAGCGTGAGCTCGCATCCGGGGCCAGTCCTTCCAACACAACCACATTGTTTCTTAATTCCACGCTATCAATATACAAAATGAAAGAGCAATTATGATAATGTCACAGGCGCTCCATGCATAAAATTGTAGCCGAGGGCTTGGGGAAAAAAATCCGTCACAAATTACAAAATAAATTGCAGAGCCGTCATCCAATTCATTACCAAGCGGGAGATAAGAAACCCCAAACGCAGCTCATCTGAGAGTTTCTCGGGGGCCTGCCCTGCCAGGCCCCGTCCAGCAGATGGCAGGCTGGGACTGGCTTTTGCCAATGCTCGGCTCCCTGCGGGAACAATATAGCACAATTCCAGGCTCTCGCAAAAAAGACAGCAAACGGAGACCTGTTGGTAGCCCAAACTGTCTCCGCAACACACCGTGGCTGACAAAAGTCTCCATCGTCTGTCACACAGGATGCTGCTGTGGCAGCTGAACGAGATCTGTGATTCTGTGAACTGAGGCAGATCATGAGAGGGAGGGCAGGAAGGGTTGCAGCCGTGTTTAGTTCTTGTGGCCCTTTCTGACACGCCCAGAGAAATGCCAATCGCCACTTTTGGTTCAGGAAGGCATTTTTCTCCAGGCCAGTTTGGCTGGGGATCCTGTAGAGGTTTTTTGTTGTCTTCTGGGCATGGAGCAGGGGTCACTGGGTGTGTGCGTGTGGGGGGCGGTATTTGTGAATTTCCTGCATTGTCAGGATGTTGGACTAGATGACCCTGGAGGTCCCTTCAAACTGTATGATTCTATTGTACAGGATCTGCAGAACCGCAGTTTCGTCCATGCAAACGTTCCAGTAATATGAGTGGTGGTGGTGGTACGGGGTGATTTATTTCAAAGCATGCAAAATGCACCAATATCATTTGCAAGCAGAAAGAAAACAGAACAAGATGTGCCAGAGAAAAAAAGGAACGCAGGACCGAAAACAAAGAGCAGTCTGAAAGAAAATTTGTTTGCTACTGAATTTAAGACCATATGCAATGAACAGGGGTCACTGGGGGTGTGGGGGGGAGGTATTTGTGAATTTCCTGCATTGTGCAGGGGCTTGGACTAAATGACCCTGGAGGTCCCTTCCAACTCTATGATTCTATTGTAAAGGGTTACAGGATCATCAAAACCGCAGTTTCGTCCATGCAAACAGTCCAGTAATATGAGCGATGGTAATTGTAGGGGGTGACTTGTTTCAAAACACGCAAAGTGCACCAATATAAATTGCAAGCAGAAAGAAAACATAACAACATATGCCAGGGAATGCAGGACCGAAAACAAAGAATGCTCTGAAAGAAAATTCGTTTGCTACTGAATTGGAGGCCATATGCTCCTGCATTGTGCAGGGGCTTGGACTAGATGACCCTGGAAGTCCCTTCCAACTCTATGATTCTATTGTAAAGGGTTACAGGATCTTCAGAACTGCAGTTTCGTCCATGCAAACAGTCCAATAATATGAGTGATGGTAGGGGGTAGGGGGTGACTTGTTTCAAAACATGCAAAATGCACCAATATCAATTGCAAGCAGAAAGAAAACAGAACAACATATGCCAGGGAACGCAGGACCGAAAACAAAGAATGCTCTGAAAGAAAATTCGTTTGCTACTGAATTGGAGGCCATATGCAACGAAAAGTGGTCACTGTGTGTGTGTGGAGAGGGGGTTGGGCTAGACGGTCTATATGGACTCTTCCAACTCTACGAGTCTATGATTCTAAAAGGTTACTGTGAGGATAAAGTGGAAGAGGGGAGAATGACATTTTAAACTATGTTGGGCCCCCACTGGGGAGAAAAGCGGGATGTGACTATATAAAACAATAAGCAAATAAAATGTTACGACGTTGCAACGCAAATGCTCATTTGTGTTAACAAAGATGTTAATGAACGCCAACACTGCACATGATGTTTTTTGCAAGCCAATGGGTGGTGCTGGATCACAACATGGATGCACACAAAGCCCAAGGTTGGCTGCTGGACACCAACCTGGCTGTACTAGATCCTCATGTCCCCCTCCCTGGTCAAGCCTGACCACACTTTGTCCAAACGAGCCCAGTCTTCTGAATAAGAATCACACTCGCAAAGAAAATGAAAGTGGGAAGAAAAACGAAAAGCCGAGGTGTTGGGTACGGGAGACGATAGGCGACTCAGAATCCGGAGTACTTACCGATAGAATCTGGTCTCCTCGCTGCAGCTCTCCGCTGAGGTCGGCTGGCCCTCCTGCTAGGATGAAGGATACAAAAATGCCTTCACCGTCTTCTCCGCCCACAATGTTGAACCCAAGTCCCGTGGAGCCCTTGTGCAGGACGACTTTTCGAGGCTCCCTGAGGAAACAGAAAGATGGATTGAAAGTCCTGGATAAAGTGTATCCCTCTCGGTGATGTGTTCGACTGCATTTCCTGATAGTATCAGACTCATAGAATTCATAGACTCATAGAGTTGGGAGGGGCCATATGGGCCATCTAGTCCAACCCCCTACTCAATGCAGGATCTGCCTTGAGCATCCCCGACAAGGGTTTGTCCAGCCGCTGCTGAAAGACTGCCAGTGAGGGGGAGCTCACCCACCCCCCTAGGCAGCTGAATCCACTGCTGAACAACTCTTACTGTATTAATTACTCCTGCTGCTTAAGACCATGTGACCAATGGGATAGCTTCTGCTCCCAAATCTGCAAGGGGTTCTATACGGCTGCATCCATAGATTGTTGAATATTGCACCATTGATGTACAATATTTCATATGCCCCTGGATCTACTTAGACCGAATCTACAATGCTCAAAGCTGAGCCCACCAAGGGGAGGGCAGGATAAAAATCCAAATAAATAAACAAATAAATAAAGGAGTACTCAGGTACAAACAGGAAAGAATCCACTGATTCTTGTACATCTTGATAGGTTACCCATGTTGCATCTCAAGAATATTTATCGCCACTAACTCCACAGGTGAACGTCTCAGTGTAGGTAAGGTCCATTCTGTGTACGATGAGGTTTATGTATGTTTTAAATTAAATTTATGGAGTGCTCAGTTGGAATTTTACCACCGAGAAAGGCTTTTAGCCAAAACGCGTTTGGTATCAGTTCTTGTATATGGGCATAATTTGTGTCTTTTAACCTGTATTTATATGATTGGACATTTGTCTTTATATTAGGATTAGATGCAAAACCATAGGATTGTGGTTTTTAAATAATACATTAGCACTTTCGTATGTATAATTAAATTATATATGCTATTTTGTACATTAGCGCTATGTGCATGGCTATATTTTAGTTTCTTTTTCTTTGTCTCAGCCTTTTTGTCTACCTTTCTCATGTAGGATTGTGTTTTTCTCCCCTTTTTTGGTCGCACTTAGCCAGCTGAGTGGAACACAGGCCAATCACTCTTTTGTATCCTCACCTACCTCACATGGTTGCGTGGTGAGTTTAAAACGGAGAAGCTCAAATACTTTGGCCACCAAATGAGAAGAGAGCACTCACTGGAGAAGACCCTGATGCTGGGAAAAGACTGAAGGTCAAAGAAGACGGGGACGGCAAAGGATGAGATGGTTAGACAGTGTCATCGATGCAACGAACATGGAATTGAGCAAACTTCAGAGGACGGCGGAAGACAGGAAGGCCTGGCGGGAGCTGGTCCATGGGTTCGCGAAGAGTCGGACTCGACTGTGCGACTGAACAACAACAAAGGTGCTCCTGGACTCTTGTTCTTTTCTACTGAATCAAGTCCCAGTTCAGCAGAAGACAAGGTGTCCTCTTTACTATTTAGGGGACTATTCTAGGCCCCCAGTGCCAGACTCTTGGACAAAGTTACTCTCAGCAACACTCACTGGAGGTGGTTTGTTTATTAAGAAGAAGAAGAAGAAGAGAAGAGATTGGATTTATACCCCGCCCTTCACTTGGAGTCTCAGAGCGGCTTACAAACTCCTTTCCCTTCCCCTCCCCACAACAGACACCCTGTGAGGTGGGTGGGGCTGAGAGAACTCTGACACAAACGGCTCTTTTTCAAGGACAGCTGTGCCTGAGCTTGTGACTGACCCAAGGTCACATCAGCAGGTGCAAGTGGAGGAGTGGGGAATCAAACCCGGTTCTCCCAGATTAGAGTCCACGCACTTAACCACTACACCAAACTGGCTCTCATAAAGAATAAAGATGTTCCAAGCTAAGAACGTTGTTGAGTC